GGTTTCGAACTGCGGACCTTGCGGTCAGCAGCCCAAGGCCTAAGGCTTTGGCTCATCAAGGCCTGACTAAGATCATGCAAAGGTGCAGGGTAGGCGCTCGGGGGTTCTGTGCCGCCTGCTCCAAGTGTCAGCCATTATGTGAGGAGTGGACTGCGGGAATCACTTCCGGGGCGACCCGGTCCTTGCTGGGGAAAACAAGTAGCCCTGAATGTGCTGGTATAGCTGTATGGGTCATGGAAGACAGGAGTGAGCATGGGCCAGGGATGGGAGTTGAAAGGTGCTGGGAAATGTGCCTGTAAGAACCCAGGGGGTGTGGAGACATAGGGGAAAATGGACTTGCAGTCCGTGTAAGTTACCATTTCTATAATGCTCCCAGGCGAGGCACTGCCCTCTTCTCCATGGCCCCCCAAGCCCAGCCCCAACCCCACTCACCAGGATTCTACAGCTCAGCAACATGAGGCAGATGATCAGCAGCAGAGCCTTGCTTATGAAGAATCCACACAACTGAATCACCAAGAAGTTGCTGGCAGGCAGATTAGGAGGAAGAACTTTGGTTCCGCTTCAGAGTGGGGAACAGGGAAGGGGCACCCCCTCCTGCAGTCCCTGACCCAGCCTGGGGTTAGAGCCTGTAGGGTGACCCTCCCCGCAGGACTCCCTGAGAAGAGGCAGTCATCAAGCGGTTAGGCATACGGGCCTCACTGCGACAGGGTTACAGGAACCCGAGTAACCCAGATGGGTGGGCGAGGTTAGCCAGGACGAAAGAAATCGCCAAGAAACCAGAGCCAAGCCCCTGCCCTTGATCAGATGCGCATGGGTGGGGGCCTCCGAGGTCGCAAAGCAGGGCTGCTCCACGGAGTGTCCTTAGCTGCAATCTTTTGTGGAAAGGATGCTTGGTGGTGTGGTGGATTAAGGGTTTGGTCTATTACCGTGAGGCCAGGCTGACGGTTCAAACCCAACAGCCACTCTGAGGAGCAGAGGTGAGGCTGTCTGTCCCTGCGAAGATCGGCCGTCTCGGAAGCCCTGGGGTCCAGCTTTGCTCTGACCGCTGGTTGCTCTGAGTTGGAATTGCTCGGTGGGCGTGGCTTCGTTTCCGGGCCTTTTTCATTTTTTCCCTCATGTTGCCACTAGGTGGATACGGATCCCCGTCTAGAGGTGACTAGTGGAGTATAAACCATTTGGACCACCCTGGGACCCCTGAGTTGTCATTTCTCCAGTGTAACACTGTCAGGGGGTCCACAGCACTGAGTTCTGACCGGTGGGAACAGAACCGCACTGGGCCGGTGAGAGAAGCAGCCTCATTGTAGGGCCTGGGGGAGACTCCCAGGCAAACTGGGTGGCGGCGGGTGGGAGGTGCTTTGAAGTACCTGTGCATGGTCTCAGCCCCCAGGAGAAGTGCTGGCCCAGGAGGCTTGAGTTGTCCTCATTGGGCTCTGAAGCTTCTGAGTGATTTGGGGCAGGCTCCTTGTCCGCTCTTGGTCTAACTGCCCTCGGTGTGGAATCAGCCCCCCTGTCTATCCAGAGAGTCGGGCTCTTTCTGGCTTCAAAATGGAGAGTGCTATCCTTGACCTTGACCTTGACCTTGCCCAGCTCAGCTCAGGTCTGAACTGGGTCCTGGGGGCTCCCTCTCAAGACCCTAAACTTCACCTCCCCTGCTCCTGCCCCCCTGCTCTCCCAGCTTGCTGAATCTGAGGCCACCCAAGTCGCTTGTCCAGCCCTTCCGAGGCCATCTGATGGGCTCTCAGACTTACCTGTCCGTAGAGTCCTTGCTGGAAGCTGTACAGAGGGTCTTCTCTGAAAAACAAGTGGGGATGATGACAACACAGAGGGGAGCCACAGCCCAGGTCACCAGAAGGCAGAATTGGGTCAGCCCTTGAGTCCTGAGAGGGAGAGCGGGTGGGGTCAGAGCCAGCCCCTCAGACCCCTCAGGCCTGAGGTCTCACACCTAGTACAGGCAGGGCTCGCTGGGGACTTAAAGGGGGCAAGTGTGTCTCCAAAGCTGGTGGGAAGGGGGAGGCGGGGGCTAAGGGAGGCCCGAATAGAGACACTGAGTCACCCCAAGGGCAGGGAAGGCTCAGAACTGGGGTGCCACAGGCCACTGACCTCCGAACTCAGAACCTCATCCCTCCAGCTCTGATCTCTGAACCATGGGCTCTGGGCCCCGGGGCCCCACAAATAGCAGTGTGAAGGGAAGGTGTGTCCTGAGGTTCCCCACCCAGCGGACCCTGTGTGTAGCTTCTGTTGGGCCAGGACACGCAAAGACAGAGGTGAGAGCCCAAGTCCAGGGACCGAGGACTCAACAAGGCCATGTGTAGGAGCTGGGGGGATCTGGGGGGAAGGAGGCAGGGGGAGATGGGCAGTGACATTTCCCCTGAGACTCCACCTAGGCCCCAGCCTCCACAAACAGCTCACCTGAAACCACCAGAGAAACTTCTTTGATTGGAAAGATGGAGTTATTGACACTGGCACACCAGTAGTAGCCCGTGTCCCACTCTTCCAGCTTGGCCATGGTGACATTAAAGAACCCAGAGAGACGGTCGTCCCAGATCCTGTATCTAGTGTTGTCGATCCACGTCCTGGACTTGGAAGTACTAACTAACCGGAGGCACTCACCTGGCTTCCATTTACACCAGGTTTTGTCTACATGAGACAGTTTCTTGATTGGGTACGGACATGTCACCAGCAGGGTCTCCCCAGCCACTCTATGAATTATCTCTTTCTCCATGCTCCGCACCCAGGAACCTGGAGAACAAGTCCTCCAGGTCAGGTTGAGGACTGGGGTCACCCACCCAGAGTCTGAGCCCAGATGCCCCTCTGGCCCCAATGCCACTTGGTGCCCTGCCTCACCCTGCAGCCCCTGCTGGATTTGCTCCTATCCTTCCCTCACCCATCCCTGCAGCAGCTGCCCGCTCACCTGAGTCCAGAACCAGCAGGAGCAGCAGCAGGGACGGGCCCATAATGCCCTCTCCTGTATGGAAGCGTGTGGACCGGGAGCAACGACGCGGTTCCGTGGCAGAGAAACCGTGGAGTTGGGCCTGCCTCTGCCCAGACACCCAGCCCTTCAAAGAGCAAGATTGAGAAAGGGCTTGATTGGGTAAGTGTATAGCCTGCAGGAAGGGGCCTGTGGCCAGAGCCCAGGTTGAGGGCCCTGCTGGGGAGACTTCCAGTAGCTGGAGGTGTCTCTAGCCTACCGGGGCTTCAGCCCTGCCCCAACCTAGGGGGGGTCAGGGCCTCCTACCTTCTCATTGGTTCCACCTGCCCAACACTGCAGCCTGCCAGTGCCCCCCGCACCCCCACCCCCCCTCAAGCAGGTACTCACCTGCATGAGGAAGGTTCTGCAAGTCCAAGGTGGAAATGAGGATGAAATCAACCGTGGCTTTGTCCACTTCCCCTCAGAGGGTGGACTGAAGTGAGTGGGGGCTTAGGGGAGTGTCTGAGGCCTGACCAGTCTCTCCAGCCCCTGCTGGGTCCCCAGAGAAAACAGAGACCTGAGAGTATGTCTGGTTGACATGCACTCACCAGCTGTGTTAGTCTGGGTGGACTAGAGAAACAAATTCGTAGATGCTCATATGTGTAAAAGAAAGAGCTTTATATATAAGTGCAATTGTATATTTAAAAACATCCCAGCCCAGTTCAGGTCAAGCCCATAATTCTGATATTAGCCCATATGTCTGATACCAGTCTATAATTCCTCTTCAGACTCACACAACACATGCAATGACGCTGAATGCAGGAAGATCACAGGCCAGTGGGTGGAAAGTCTTGTGGATCCCGTGGCAATGGAAGCATCTCAGCACTGGTGTGGGTCTCCACAGGGCTCCTCCAGCTCCAGGGCTCTCACTGCATCAGTGTAGCTCCATGTGGCCTGTCAGCAGGATGAAGCAGAGTCAAAGCAGAGAGCGTGTCGGCCCTCCAGTGTGGGAAACAGAAAGATTTCTCCCAAGTCATCTCCCCCAAATACATGCCTAACTTAGCTGCTTGCTACACATGGTGAATGACTATATCCTTGGAGGTCAACAGAAGTAGGTCAGGGGTTATTCTCCCTAAGGGTTATCAGCCATCCAGAGCAAGCAGTCACCACCGTTTATTCCCACAATAAGTAGGACCCACTCCCTTCTGATAAGGATAGTAGTTGACTGTTTCCTTGTAGGAGACCCCAGAGAGGTCAAGCCCACCCAAGGGTGACCAAGGTTAGGCCACCATCATGAATCTAGGGTCCGCCCATCTTGTCACATGTATACCTCTAGTCTCCCCACTTCCTGTGGGCACACCCTAGCTCATCCCCTTCCTGTCACGCTTATGCCTATTATACATCCCCTTCCTATGATGTGTATGCCTATTGTACTGCCCCTTCCTGTGACATGTGTGGTTACTTGTAATCAGGCCCCCCGAAGTAGTTATAAGCCTTGGTGAGCAATAAACGTGGCTCTCTGGGCCCTGCTCTCGGCTCTCCAGCTGTCTCCACGTGCACCACCAAGTGCGGCTGAGGTGAGTGAGCATGCTACCATGAATTGTGTCTGACTCCATTATTTCAATCTCTCTTCTAGCTTTCATGCTGTCTGTGATTTCACTATAATCTTTACTTATTATTGCCGCACAATTGTGCCTACCGGACCCGTGATGATTTGTTGGGGGCCCTCCTTTCCCTCACGCTCCAGTGAGCTATTTATCTCCTTCACTCCTCCAAATGAGGTCATCAAGCTGTGACCTGATTGACAGGGTAGACCCCACCCCTTCTCAAGTTGACAGAAGATTATGCCACTACCACACCAGCTTTCACAGCCCCCCCACCCCCCACCCCCGAGAACAAGTTCCATGGTAGTTTTCAGACAGTCCCTGTGGGGATTCAAATAGTAACTAAGAGGAGCCAGAGATGCTGTCCCACTGACCGGCCCAGCCAATGCCCTCCCCCTCAATGCCCGCGCCCCGATACATACTGCCCCAAAGCATAAGACGCGCGCACACACAGCCACCCACAACACCAAGCGCTGCACCGCGGCGTTATGTTTGATATTCTCTTCCAGGAGCAAGGTTTGTTGGCAGCAGGCAAGAGTCCTATACAATGTCGAATGCAAACTGTCTTTCCATCCCGCACGTGACGGACATGGATTGGCTGGAAATGAACAGGAAGTCACGTGTGAGAGCTTCAGAAAACTTGACCTCAATTGAACCTAAGTTGACTGTGCCCCAGACATCTGGCAGAAGTAACTATCAGGAACCGCAGGAGCCCCCAGTCCTGCCCCTGACTCATTAGGGGGTGAGGAACGACTGAGACACCAACACTGTGTGTCCCCCATTCCCTCTTCATCTCTCTTCTCCTTCCCTCTCCCCCTCCCCCTCTGCCTCCTCCTCCTCTCTCCTCGACTCATGGCACCTTGAGTGTCTTCCCTGATGAACATTCAGAAGATCAAGTCCAAGGGCGTGTTTTGGACAAAGCTGTTGCTGATCACAGAGGAAGGACTGCAAACAGTGTGAGTTCAAATGTGCACCTCCCATCTCCAGAGATTCTGCAGAGCTGCAACATATGAGAGAGGGGAAATGAAATTTCAATTTTCTGGAAATGCAATATTTTTTAAAAGAGAGAGAGAGGTAGAAGAGGCAGAGGATAAATAATAAGAACACACGTTTAACTTCGAGTTGGTAAAGCCTGGCCCCAGGATTGTCGAACTCTCAGAACGCAAAAACTCCCTACTCTTGAGCAGATTTCGACTCACAATGACCTTATAGGACAGGGTAGAACTGTCCCTGGGCATTCTGAGGCTGTTCCTCTTTACGGGGGTGGAAAACCTCATCTTTCTCCCTAGGTTCAGCTGGTGGGTTTGAACCACCAACCTTGTGATGAGCAGCTCAACATGTGGCCCACTGCACCAGAGTCCTACCAGCTGACCCTAGGGTTCCCAAACTTGACTACCTCTGAGAATCACCTGTGGCCATACTCAGACCAATGCGGTCAGACCCTCTGAGCGGGGGCCCAGACATTAGTCTTTCTGAAGCTCCCCAGGGGTCCCAATGCAGAGACATGCTTGGAAACCATGGGTCTACCTTAATTTCCACACAATCTTTATAAAGCAGCTGTCCCGATCCCCTTTCACGATGAGGAAACGGAGGCACAAATCGTCTGGGGGAGGGAGTGACATTACAGGAGTTTAGGAGCAGGACTCCTGGGCCCGAGCTGTTGCACATGATGCCCTCAGACAGGACAGGACCCAGAACTGGAAGTCACCAGTCGTACTAAAGCTATCAGGCTCTCTCCAGACCCACTGATTACACATGAGGCTGATGGAAAGGCTGCCCCTGCTTCCAGCTGGCCAGAGAGAACGCATCATCACACATGCTGTCGGTAGCTGGCGAACACTGCCCTTTGTGACTTTTTCCTGGGTCTCCTGGCAGGAGGGAGCTCTCTGCTCTGGGTCCCCCACAGAGCTGTCCACCCTCCCAGAGTGCCTAGGCCCAAGTCTTCACACTCTTTCACATTCCCTCTAAAAGTCAGCATTCATGAAGTGTCCGGAAGGGCCCAGGGCAAAGAAAATACAAGCCCATGTTGCAGCAGAGGATTCTGGGAACTGAGAACATCTGGAGAGGTTGGTGATGAGGAGAAAACATACATTTTAAAGCTGTTTGTAACCTTCAAGCTCTACACCAATTTAAGGCGGACATACGGTTTCCAGCACAATGTTATTCTTACAAAAGGCTTCGGGGCAAAATGTAAGTACCTCGAGTCACGATCCTGACTTGTAGAGTTTGCCCCTTTAACTTTTTTCCCCATTTTCACACTTGACAAGGATTTCAGTGTATTTTTGGCTGGGGAGCCCTGTATAACCAGTTAGTGACTAGCATGAGACCCTAACTTTGACTCTCACAAGCATTCTCCAAGCTTCTTGTCGGCCAGCCATTAAGACAAAGTCTGACATTTGGGACCAATGGGATCATCTGCTGAGGGGCATGCCCCCTCTTGTTAGGGGTCATTGAGATTTCATTGTCCCTCACCTGGCCTCCAGACCCCACCAGGCTGGCTTCTTCTTTCACGGGTTCTATGTCTCCATTCTGGACATCAGGGTGGGTGGAGAAGCTTCTCTTTTTTTATCATTTTATTGGGGGCTCGTACAACTCCACCCATCCATCCATTGTGTCA